CAAGGTCGAGAGGTTACTGGGGACGCCTGTGAAAACCACGGGGGCGGGTGCAGGCGAGCAGCGTGCGGGGCGGGGGCAGGACGGAGGGGCCAGCTGGGGGCACTCCTGGCACAGGCCGGACACCCCACAGCAGCCCCGGCGCAGGGACTGGCCCCAGAAGAGTCACTCGCAGCACCAGGCCCCGCGTCCCGCGTGCTCAGCGGCCCGGCCAGAGAGGCCTGTGAAGAAGCTGCTCCCCGCTCAGACTCGGCATGGCATCGGGGACCGTCACAGTGCCCTCCTGATTGGAAGGGACATCTGGGCGGCACAGCTCTGCCTGCCACAGGCTCTCTCCCTGTGCGTGGGGGCTCCTACAGGGCTGCCCCAGCCTCTCCTCGCGGGGGAGACTTAAAAGGAGGGGGGCAGATGGATGAGCCCGTTGCCGCAGCCGGGGCTCGTCCCGCCCTCTCCCCGCCTCTGCAGCCCATACCCCGCCTCGGCTGTCGCCTCTGCGGGTTTGGAGGGCCCACCTAGGAACATGACCCACGCCCTCATTCCTTTGGGGTCTGAGCCCCTGGTCACCGGGCAAAGGCTGGGGTGGCTGCACTGTCCATTATCAGTCACAGTCCCGCAGGGGGCACACGGCACCAAGGGCCCAGAATCCCGCATGTCCCCTGGTCCCTTTGAGTGCCAGCAGCCCACCTCCTCCCGCGGACGGGCCAATCAGCCATGACTGAACTGTGACTCCTCCTGTGACGTCTCCTGTCCACCGCCCTCTGGGCTCAAACCGCCCGGGTGGGGGGCAACTGTAGCTGAGTTCAGAAGGACCCTTCCTGTGAGCCCCTGGGGAGGGGACCTCTGACCCTGCAGAGCACAGACAGCCCAGTGGCAGGGCCTTTGGGTCTGCTCTGAGTTGGAGCTGAGGTGAGGGACATGGCTTCCCAGTGGGTGGAGCTTCCCAGCGGGTCACTGGGAAGGGGCCGGTGGGGCCAGGCCAGCCTGCTCAGGGGCCCAGCCGCCCATGCGGTCCTCATCGGAGCCGCGGCCACGTGCACGGCATCCTGCAGGGCAGCACCCACCCTCAGTGCCTCGCCCTCGCTCTGTGCCGCTGGAAGGCTGTCCCCGCGTCCTGCGAAGCCAGCAGCTCTGGGACAGCGCGGCAGGAAACACTACCAGTGGCTGGGTGGGACTCGCACCCATGGGCCAGGCCTCCATAAGCCCCTGGACTTATGGTGGTGCAGCCTCTGCAGGCAGGGAAGGCAAGCCCACACCTGGGCAGGTAGGTACCTGAGCATCGTCCAGTATGGAAGGGCCCAGTGTGGTTGACTGGCCACCAGGTGGCGATTTGTTCTCGTGAAAACACGCCAGGCGTGGCCTCCAGTGGGCCCGCTCTGTCTGTGCTGTCACGCCTGTGACAGGTTAGAGGTGGCCTGTGACGGTCTGTGCTAAGCCGCCTCCTTCCAGCAGGTGCTCCTGGCGGGGCTTTGCGTGTGGTACAAGGCCCTTCACGCTGTCCCCGGTCCCCTGTCCATGCCCGTGGCTCCAGGCCAGAGCCCCTGTCTTCACCTCCAGGCCTTTTTCAAGACCCTTGACCCGCCTCCTAGACACCGCCCCTGAATCCATAGATATTCTTACCTGGGCCACTTTCCCGCGCGCACAGAGTGTGTGACCAGGAGCTTGAAGCTCCACCCACTGGGAAGCCATGTCCCTCACCTCAGCTCCAGCTCAGAGCAGACCCAAAGGGCCGGCCACTGGGCTGCCGGCTCCCTGCACCGCACACAGCAGCTCTCTCTCCGACGCAGCCGAGTGGCACCTGTGGCCGCCCCAGCCCCGTGCCTGGCACTCGCTGTCCCCTGCCTGTTTCCGTCCTCTCCGCCTGCACACGGGTCAGTCACTACCATGTGTGTGGCCTCACGACGGCGGAGTGAGCCATCGGTGGGTGGGCTCCCCGCGTAGGGGTTACGGGGTCTGGTGTCGCCAACTGGAGGGATTTGGGGTGAACGCAGCGTCTGCCCAATGGCCTCCTGGTTGCACTGGGCACCTTGCACCCCAAATGCCGCTGTTTCAACAACGGTGACACCGGAGCCCCAGGGTGCTCCCGCTGGGAGTCAAGGTGAGCTCAGGGTAGGGGTGTCTCCCCACCCCACCCCCAGCCAGGCTCTCTCAGGGTCTCAGAGTGTTCTCCGCCATCTTGGGGCCTGGCTAACCACCCCTTGGGACAGAGCCCCCAGAGCAAGATACCTGTGGACAGCCACATGGGGACCGGCCTCATTCATCCTAAATTGCCTTGGCTGAGTGGGCCCGACCCCGAAGACACCAGGCTCCTGTCCAGACAAGCTCAAGGCCCCAAGTGCTGGTGCATTTGCTGGCCTCAGGGGTCTTGGCCTCAGGACAGGCCAGAAGTGTGGCATTAAGAGAGGGGCCCCTGGCCTTGTGTGACGGGGGCCACCGGCCCTACCCATCTTGCAGGTTGAATTGGGACGACTGAGGTCACCGAAAGGGGGCGCTCGCTGCCCTGGGCCTTGGCGCCCCTCCAGCCTCTGGGCCAGCCCCGGTGGCCCCAATCCGCAGAGGAAAGTCTTCACGCTCGGAGGGAGTCAGCACCTCCCCAAGTGTCACAGCTCGGCTGCCTGGTGCCAGGGTCTGAGCTGAGACCTTCACTCCAGCTGCTGGGGGTGAGACTACCAGGGAAAGCTCCAGAAGACCGATAGCCACAGGACAACCAGGGCTCAGCGTGACCGAGACTCTAGAGGGGCTGCCTCTGCACAGAACTCCCCCTTTACTCGGCCCCCCACCCTGGATGGTAAGGAGCACGTGCTCCCCACTCCAAGATGGAGAGGGGCTCCCAGCCAGGGAGTGAGAGCCAGAGCCACCCTCCCAACCCCCACCCAGCTGCATCTCCTGAGGCTGGGGCAAGGGGCTGTCCACGCAGCCCTGTCTGGCCAGAGCCGGCCTCAGGGGGGTTGGGAGGAGCAGGGCTTGGTGGAGTCCACGCCACGGTAGCGGTGGCTGAGCATGGCGTCCAGCCGCCCTCGCTGGCCACTCCAGGGATCTTGGCTTCTCACCACCAACAGGTGTCCGGTCCTGGCACAGTGCAGTGAGGGGCAGCTGGGGCAGCCTGTAGGAGGAGAAGGCCATGCTGGAGGAGGGGAGGGGTGTAGCCGGGTCAGCAGGGAGGGCTTCCGGAAGGCTAGCTGGAGCCCCGCCCCCAGCACAGGCTGCAAGAAGTCGTGGCAGCGTGTGTCTGCCCTGGGGGTTTCCTTCCTGCAGCCAGCTCTGAGGGAGCCCAACCCCCACCCCCAAAGTTTCTGAAGCACCTCTTGGGTCTAGTGGCAGGGGTGGGGCCTCTCACGATCCAGAAATATCTGTCACATGGGAGTGCCTGTGGGTGCCAGCACCTGGGGTCGGCTACAGCCTCTGCCCCAGCCTTGCCACCCCCACCCCACCCCACCCCCCTCACAGACACGGACACCGATTCTCTGTCCTCTCCGAGGCTTGTGCAGGTGTGCACTGCTGGCGAGACCGCGGCGAGTCCCCGCTTCCCGCCCCCTCTGGCGCCGCTCCCTGATGTGTGTGTGTCTCGCTGTCAGTCCCCAGGCCCCAGCCTGGCGCTGGGAGGCTGTTTCCCCGGGCGTGGGTGTCTGTGTGTCTGCGTGTGGCATGTCAGTCTGTCTCCCTGTGAGTGTCTCCAGCTAAATCCGTCCTTGACCCTGTGTATCCGAACGTGTCTGAGGGAGGGGTGCTCTCTTCCTCCGACCTCCCCTCCCCCAGCCCCTCCCTCAGGCGCTAACGCAGCCGCCGCTGCTTGGCTGCACCCGAGCGCAGTGACCTCGTCTGTCCCTGCAGCAGTGACCGCCCCACTGTGCTGTCTGCCAGGGGGACCTGTAGCCGAGCTCCGAGCCGCTGGCTGCTCCCCCCGACACACACACCTGGGTCCCCCCTCCCCCGCCTGAGCCCCCAGGGGGCGCGCTTCCCTCCGCGTGGGGTCCGCTGGCTTCTCATCTTCCCTTATGTAACTCCGCATCTGTCTGCACTTCGCAGGTCACCCTGGACCCTGCGCTGGATCCTGCCCACTGGGAGACTGAGACCCAGAGTCCCATGCATATGGGAGCTGGAGTGAACCCCTGCCGGGCAGGGCACGGGCTCTGAGACCCCTCCCATCTTTTCTCTTTAAGAGAGTCCTCCCTCAGACCCGCTTGCCCTAAGAATGGAACCAGGAGGGGTCCCGTGGAGCAAGTTCCCCTGAGCGCGGTGCCGGCGTCCCCCCCACTTCCACTCCAGGTCCCCAGCAGGCGCCCGGCTCCGGAGCAGGGCTGGCCAGGGGTCACCCGGGCCGAGGGCTCGGGCAG